GGTGTGTACACACATTAAGTGCAAATGTTTGCAATGTGAATGATGTACAAAGAGGCTACAAAAATTGTATTAAAAATCCATTACCTTTTCATTCTATTTTCCACAAATTTTGAAGCTACCTCAACATATTACTCACAGGCAGGCCCCCACAAAAGATGATACCACTTTATACTACTACCAATAGTACATGAGTATACAGACCCCAAACTCCAGAAAACACTTTCATTTGATGAAAAGAGAAGCTATCTGAGCTATTTCAAATCACAACTTCAAGGTTAACAGAGGGAAATCATCTACAAAAATTCTTATTCAATGAACATTTAAAGAACTAACCACTTAGGCCATCTACAGAGACTATAAACAGGATGATAACGTGTTAATTGCAAAGGAACTAGCACAAGCTCAGTTTTCATGATACCGTCACTGAAATCCTGTAAAAAAGCTCAAAATTCACTGCCACCGAGTCAATTCCAACTTGTACTGACCCTAGGGAGAGAACTGACCCTGTGAATTTCCAGAATTGTAACTCTTGACAGGGGAAAAAGTCCTGTCTTTTTCCCAAGGAGAGGCTGGTGGTTTCGAACTGCTGACCCTGCAGTGAGCAGTCCAACGTGTAACCACGACACGACCAGGGCTCCTCCAATAAGAAAGGTACTATTATTATCAAGAAAAGATACCTACAATATGGAAGGGGAAGGCCAGGGAGGGGAAAATCGCTGGCTAGCGGGTCGACAAGCGGTAACTTGGGTGAAAAGGAAGGTAATGTACACTAAGGAGGGGCTTGGCAAAAATGAGAGAGAAAGGTTTGCATGTGTTCCAGCAACAGAGGCAAACACTGCCATATGCACAATCATGCAGTAACTGTGGTCCACAAATAGACACTGGGACAGACCCACAAACAGGTACGAGAGGGAGAGTGGGAGCATATCAACGAATGGATAGAGGTTAAATAGAGGTTATTTTATATGTGTATTTACTTTTGCTGCAAATATATCCATGACTACATTTGCATTCAGGGAGAACAATTATGAAAAATTAAAAAAAATTTTATTGAGGGCTCATACAACTCTAATCACAAACCATACAAACGTCCAATGTGTCAAGCACATTTTTACATTTGTTGCCATCATCATTTTCAAAGCATTTTCTTTCTACTTGAGCCCTTGGTATTAGCTCATTTTTCTCCCTCCATCCCTCCCTCCCTCATGAACCCTTGATAATTTATAAATTACTATTATTTTTTCATGTCTTACATTGACCGATTTCCCCCTCCAACCACTTTTCTGTTGTTCATCCCCCTGGGAGGGGGTTATATGAAGATCATTGTGATCGGTTCCTCCTTTCTCCTCCCACCTTCTCCTTACCCTCCTGGTATGGCTATTCTCAATATTGGTCCTAAGGGGTTTATCTGTCCTGCATTCCCTGTGTTTCGAGCTCTTTATCTGTACCAGTGGATATGCTCTGATCTACCCGGATTTGTAAGGTAGAACTGAGGTCATGATAGTAGTGGAGAGGAAGCATTAAAGAACTAAGAAAAGTTGAATGTTTCAATGGTGTTATACTGCACCCTGAATGGCTCGTCTTTTCCTTGTGACCCTTCTGTAAGGGGATGTCCAATTGTCTACAGATGGGCTTTGGGACTCCACTCGCACTCTCTCTCATTCACAATGATTTGATAGCTACCAGATATCTACTATGCACCTGGCACTATTCTAGGCACCATAGAGACAGTGATTACATTTAAATTCACTGAGCCATGGAAAATAAATCCTATGAGATAAATGTTAATATTGTCATTTTACACAAAGGTATTTGCCAGATGCTCAAAAAGGCTAAGTACATTATCCAGTGTCTCGTGGGTAGTCGGGGTGAAAGTTTACAGCCTCGCAGAAACAATTATATACACACAAAATCAAATCATCTAATTTGCCATCCCTCGTATGTTACTCACCCCAGGTGCGTCAGAGGTGCATGTTTTCACCATCTCTTGGAGGACAGCAATCAGTTGGCACAAGAGCACTCCGTTATCAAGTTCGTGCAATAATCTTTCTGCTTTCACTGCAGTACCTACAAACATACGCCAAAATCACGACTCTTTTATAAGCAGTAAAGTCAAATGATGTGGTACACATTATGGTAAATGGAATCAGATTAAAGCTGAAACCTTAGACAAATATCCAATCAGATTCCAACTACTTATTCGTAGAAGGTGGAGTTAAAATAAATGTCAAATTAAACACAAATTAAACGGAAACAAAACAATTTGTGATACGGAAGGACACACACAAAAAGGGAGGAAACGGTCACAGGTGAGATCTCTTTTTCGTAAACCGAAGTGTTTATTTTTAGTACTTGCTATGCAGGTTGTTTACTTGACTGCGCACCACTACTGCCTACATACGGTCAGAAGTATATTTTAAATTACAATAATACAGCAAACATGAAGAGAATACCAACTTTTCACCTCTAAAATGCCCTTTATAATGTGTTATGCTGCATAATGAACTTTAAAAATTATCCAAAGCACAGAATTGGTAGCAAACGATTAGTGTGTGCGAGTGGTTCATCTTGGGAGCGGCAAAGTCCAGCTTGAGGATACTCCTTTTCAAGAAAACCGTGGAACTTTATTTGAAATTCTGGTTATCAAAGTGATTTTTTTGCTCAAGATACATTTTAGCGCATTCATCATCTTCTCCAGTAGACTGTAGGACCGTCAGGAAAGGGAAATAGCCGCTAACCTGAGACCCCTTCCTAGGTTTCAAATGCCTCACCCCGCCCTGTCTCCCAAGTATGAATCATAGCAAGCCCAGGCTCCACTCCACTCTGAAGCTCACAGCTCAGACAGGGCTTAAGGAAGTGAACAGTAAAATGTCAGTCTCAACAGTAGACCGACGTACTGAAAAGGAAAAAAGATTTAAGTATTAATAATAAAAATGGAAATTACTCAAACCTCTTCTGTTAAGCCTCTACCTTTCTTACTATCCAAAGCCTAACGTTCTGGATAAACTGGTCTCGCTCAGAATGAAAACTTAAGAACAAAGATGATGAATATGTCATTCACTGGAGTATCCCCACCTTCGACATAATGTAAGACTCTCAATAAATTTTCATTGAATAAGAGAATACAGTTTGGGTCTCTTACCTAATAAGCCGGACAACCAGATGGAGAGATCTTCTTGCATGGGCAGCAGCGAGGCCTCGTGCCTCACAGCTAGCCACTCATCGTACTGACAGACGTCAGCCAAGCCTGGGCCGTGTCTAGGAGTCAGAGGGCTCCTTGGACTCAGAGGCAGGTCTTCTCCAAACCACACCTGGAGAGAATGCCAATCAGTCTTTGCTGAAAGTCATCATCGTATCTCTACTTATTTTAAGTGACCATGGTAAACCAGGTGTAATACCTGTAGCAGTTCACAGGACATAAAACACACGATCGCTGCTCTTCAAGACATGGGGAAAGCGTACACAGAAAGTATGAGAGCAAGTCAAAAAGTGTTGGTACTGAGATTGCTGTTCATGCCCGCGTGGGTTTATTCCTAACAAAACGTGTTTCAACACGTCTGCAATCAGATGGCTGCAGACAAAGTCTCTAAGAGACACACGTCTGTCTCATTAGAGAGATTTTAACAAAACATCCGATTAAAACAGTGGCCTCCTCTTACCATAGTGAATGATGGGGG